AGCAACAGAATCAGATTCAATAGGGACAAGGGACAAGTCCTCCACCTGGGAAAAAGAAACCAGATGCATCAATTAAAGATGCGGACTATGTGGCTCAACAGACCTGCAAAACAAAACGATATTGGAGTAATTGTGGACAATAGGCTAAACATGAGCCTACAATGTGATGCAGCCGCCAAAAGGGCAAATGCTATTTTGGGATGCATTTACAGAAGTATTACTTCCAAATCATGAGAAGTCGTAGTTCCTCTATACTCCTCACTAGTCAGACCTCACCTGGAATACTGTGTTCAGTTCTGGGCCCCAAGATTTAAGAAAGATGCAAGGTAAATTAGAAAGGGTTCAGCAGAGGGCAACAAAAATGATCCAGGGTTTGGAAACACTGCCCTGTGAGGAGAGACTCAGAGAACTGGGCATGCTCAGCTTTGAGAAGAGAAGACCAAGCGGGGACATGATCTTCCTCTATAAAGACCTCAAAGGCTGTCACAAAGAGGAAGGTCAAGATCTGTTCTTGCTGATGCCAGGGTGTAGGATACGGAATAATCCATTCAAGTTGCAGCAACCCAGATTCAGGCTGGACATCAGGAAAAGCTTCCTCATGGCCAGAGAAATACAACAGTGGAACCAGCTGCCTGGAGAGGTGGGGGGCTTTCCCACACTAAAGACATTCAAAGAGAAACAGGACAGCCCTCTGGATGGGATGGTGTAATGTGGTGTTGGACTCCATGGCCTTCATGGCCCTTTTCAACTCTACTATTCTCCACCAGTCTGCTGTCATCTTCCCTGGCTACCCAGCCAACTTTGCCCAATTCAAGGTTCTAGTATTAACTTCTAAAGCCCTTTACAATTCCTTTGCATTGGGGCCACCTCATAGCCAGCAAGGCCAGTAGCCACTGATAGCCTCTTCCCTCATGAATCTGCCCAGTCCTCTTTGAAAGGCTTCCAGCTCGGCAACCATCACTACTTCCTGTGGCAGCAAACTCCATAGTTTGAGAATATGCTGTCTGAAGAAGTACTTCCATTCATCTCCCCTAAACTTCTCACCAATCAGCTGCATGAGATGACCCTGGGTTTGCGTGTGTCCCTCTCCACTTCCTCCTCTTGGTGGATAATGTTAAACACCTCTATCATGTCTCCCCTTCCTCACCTTTTAGCTAAGCTGAACTGTCCCAGTTGTTGCAGCTGCTCCTCAAAGGGGTGTTGCTGCAGCCCCTGATTCACTTTGTTGCCCTCTCTACAATTTTTCCAACTCAATAATGTCCTTTTTCAGGTAAGGTGTGCAGAACTCAACACAATATTCCAGGTGTGGTCACACCAATGATCTGTACAAGGGAAGTACGATCTTGCCACTTGTACGTTTTGTTCTGTTCCTTGTTACGGCTAGCATGAAGTTTGCCTTCTTTGTGGCAGCTGTGCAGTGGGCTGACATTTCCACTGACCCGTCTGGCCATTCCCAAGATCCCATTCTTGCTCAGTCACTGCTAGCTCAGATCCCATTGGTATACACTGAAGTTGGGATGCTTTGCCCCAACATGCATTGCTTTATACTGGCTTCTATTGGGCACATTTGCCATTCTCCCAGTTTGGCGAGATACCCTTGGAACACCTCACAATCTCTTTTGGCTTCAACCTTCCTAGAAAGTTCAGTGGCGTCAACAAACTTGGCCACTTCACTCCCCCTTCCTAATTACAGATCCTGAATATGTTGAGCAGTGCTGGTCCTACTGCAGAGCAACCCTGTGGGAGCCCATTGGTGATCCATCTTCTTTGCAGGAAGCTGTCATTTATTCCCCCACCCCTCTGTCCTCTGCTCTTTATCCAGTCCATGATCCAGAAGGGGACACCCCACCCCACCCTATTCCATGGCTCAGCAGCCTTTGGTGACGGACTTTGTCGGAAGCCTTTTGGAAATCCAGGACAACAATGTCAGCAGGATCACCCCTGACTGTGTGCTGATTTCCACTCTCAAAGAACCCCAACTGGTCTTCCATTTGTGGCAGCCATGCTGAATTTTTCCAGTAGAGCTTGTCCCTCTTACTCATCCTATCTTTAATTGTGCTTTCAAGCAATTTCCCAGGAGCAGATGTTAAACTAGCTGGCCTGTAATTTCCTAGATCCCCCGGATCCCTTTCAAAAACTGATGTTGTACTGGCCATTCTCCAATCCTCTGGTGCAAAAGCTCATTTTAGAGACATGATGTTTTGGTAGGAAGGTCAGTGGTTTCATGCTTGGATTCTTTGATAGCTCCAGGATGAACCAGGTGACCTAACCCTGCACCAGGTGACTGGCTGACTTTTGGTTTGCCGGTAAGGCTGAGAATGGCATCTCTTGTCGCTACTGATTCCCTGAAAATTCCCAGAGTCCCTTCCAGAACACCCAAGCTCTGGGACAAGTGCCTGCTCGGCATCCTTTGCTGTGAGGACGGTTGGAAAGCATCCGCTGAGCTGCTCTGCAATCTCCCCCCCCCCCCCCCCCCCCCCCCCCACCCCACCCAGTGCTGCTTGACTTCTGTTAACACCCAGTGATCCAACTGCCTCCTTAGCTGCTTTCTTTCTTTTGATATATTTGAAGAATTACCAATTGTTAGCCCTCATGTTGCTAGAGGTGCGTTTTTCTGCTTCTCCAAATGGCTCTTGCATCTCCCTCGTGGCAGCACATGCTCCTGTCTGTTCTTCCCACGTGGGCCAGGCTTTCATTTCTTGACGGAAGCTTTCTCCCCTGTAACAGCGTCCTTGCCTCTGTGCATTAGCCATGCTGGTACTTCCTGGGCTTTGTGCAGCCTTTTCTCACTTGTGGTCTTCCTATTATCTGTCTCTCTATTGTAGCATTTTATTAATCTCCAAGGGCTTTGAAGAGATTTAAACTCATTGATTCAACTGTGCTTGACCTCCTTGGCAGTCTTCCAGCCAACCGCATGTTCACTCTGATGCCAGTGTGGCCACTGTTACAGAGTGGCTCAGCCACATTTGCATCCTGCACTGTGCTCTGGGCAACCCTGCCTCGGATGACATCCAAGCTTGCCTCCCCTGTGGTTGGTTCCATGGCCAGTTGTTCCAGAGCACAGTCTTTCAGGACAGTGAGAAATTTAACCTCTCTTGTCAGAACCAATCCCCTGCTGTTGTACATCACCAATTTACACTTTTTTCCTTGAACATCTTCACTGATGGCGCCTCCACCACCTTCCATGGAAGCCTGCTCCATATCATAGGAGTTCTAGCTGGCAGGAAGTACTTCCTGATTTCCAACCTAAAACCTGGTTCCTTAAGCTTTGCTCCATTGGATCATGTTTTATCTTCCACCATGGGAGGACAGGTCACGACTCTCTACTGTGTGACATAAGATCCTGCTAAGTCTCTCTTCCAGGCTGAAAAGACCCAGCTTCCTCAGTCTCATCTCATATGACATTCCACCACACTCCATCCAGTCCAGGTACCATCCTTGTGACTCTGCACTGAACCGATTCTAACCTAGCTATATCTTTCTTACAGTGTAGAGCACAGTACTCCAGTTGCGGGTGCATCAGAGTCTTATGGGGTGGTACTAACATCTCCCTCAATCTAGAAGCAGCACTTCTGGCTATACATCCAACAGTGGCATTCACCTTCTTAACTGCCGCGTCACATCAAGATTATCAAATGAATAAGTCGGCTCAGCATCTCTAGTTCGGAAGCTGGCAGCTAGCCCTCCTCCAGACATTGCTCGACAGCAAACTCCATCTGCCCTGGCCAGCATAGCCAGTGGGGAGGAATGATGGGCCTTGCAGTCCAACAACAAGGCCACAAGTTTCCCATTCCTGCTCTAGGGCCTTGTGTGCTCTAAGTGTGTGTTTACATGTCTCTGAGGAGTTTGCAAGGCAAAGAGTGGGACACTGGCCTGGAATGAGCTGGGAATGTCTGCGTACAAACCGTATGCTATTGCCTGAGCTGTAGCAGGGCTAAGATTCCTTCCGTGGCATTCTCCTTCACTCAATAGCAGCAGGATTCAGGAAGCCACCCTTTTGCCCTCACGTAAGATTGTGGTGCCAATGTTTATTCTTAGCTGGGGTGGAGGAAGTGAGCATCATAGAACCACAGAATAGCAGGTTTGGAAAGGAGCAAGAGGGCCCTCGGGGCCATCCACCTCCTCAGTGCTAGGGACTCGGAGTCATTTATTTATTTCATTATGTTTATATGACACCTTTTTTCTTTCAAGGAACTCGGAGCAGCTGACATAATTCTCCTCCTGCTGCTTTCACTCTTATCCCCACAACAGCAGCCCCTGTAGAGTTGGAAGGGGCCAGAAGGCCATCAGGTCCAACCCCCTGCTCAGTGCAGGACTCCAGGTCAAACCATCCCTCTCAGATGGCTGTCCAGTTGCATCCTGAATGCTTTCCGGGTGGGAGAGCCCACGACTTCCATAGGTCATGGTCGCATTGCTGTAACAATCAGGAAATTCTTCCTGATGTCCAGCTGGGACCTGGCTTCCTGCCACTTGAGCCATCATGCCATGTGATGGGCACCAGCACTGACCCACTCTTTCTTGCTACAACTAAATCTCAGTGTTTCTCTTTCATCAGCAAGCTGAAGCCCGTCCTTGAGGCAGAGAAGAAATCCCACTTGCTCTGTGCCTCCTTCCGAAGTGTGTTTTGCCTGGCCCCGCTGGACATCCTTGAAGGACAATCTTGTAGAGAGGAGCTGACAGCAGATGATATCAAAGTGAGCCCTACTCAGTAGCTTATTTTCCCAAGCTAAGCCTAAGATCCATGGAATTCTTTTCTGACCATAGTTTCTCAGTGAGAATCTGTGAGGAAATTAAGCTAAGGATTTGGAGAATCTGGCCAATCACCATCTGCTGGAAATGCAAGTCCATAGCTATCTAAATGTGTCCAACTGTGTGACGTGGAAACCAAACCTTGTTGCTCTCTCATTTTCCTATACTCATTTCAGCTGCACCAAAAGTATTGGTAAAAAATTGTTTGGGAATGGGGGAACTGTCAGGGAGCATAAGGAAGAGGGTTATAGATGCAGAATGGGAAACACAAGGTCCTTCTGTGTGCTCTCTGGAACCTCCCAAAACATCTGACCGCCTCACTGCTTCCTCAGCTCCTACAGAAAACCATATTAGCTGCCCCAAGAGCTCCAGCTATGGGCAGTATAAAAGTGACATGAAATAATGCTTATATGTACGCAAGAGGGCAGCTCTTGCTCTCTAAGAACATAGGAACCCTGCTGGATCACAGGAAAGGTCCATCTAGTCCAACATTCTGCTCACAAAGATGACAGCCAGGTGCACTCCCCACTTCCTAGTCGCTGTGCAGATCCTGAAGGAATTATTTTGTCCAGGCTTCTGGTCTTTGTCCTGCCCTGTACTCTGGAGTCATTGCTGAGGCTAAGAACTTAAGAACATAAGGAAAGCTATGCTGGATCAGACCAAAGGTCCATCCAGTTCAGCACTGCAGACACACGGTGGCAAACTGGCTGCCCACCGGCTTGCTCAAGCGGGACGAGTGCAAGCTCCTCGGCAACTGGTGCCAGCAGGCCTGCCTCCTCTAGCAGAGGAGGCCAGCCATGGAAGCTAGTCCAGAGCTAGAGTGGGAGAGGAGGCTGGTCCAGGGCCAAGAGCGCCTGCCTAACCGTGGCAGCCAGCGACATCTTGGCTCAGTTGCTTCCTCTTGTCCAGCCCTGTGGCACTCAAGCTCACTGCCTTCCTTTTGCTTCAGGGCCTCTACCACCAAACCATGAGCAGTTTTGGAGAGATGCTGCAGGGTTTGTTGCTGGAAAACCCACACCCAAGCGAGCTGCAGCACTTGATGGAGGTAGGCAGGTGTGTTGCCAAGAGACAAGGGCTTTTTCTAAAAAAAATAGGATTCATAATACCAGAAACATACCAGCAGGTTGAAGGAAGATTTTATTAAGTAGAAGAAAAAATGTACGAAGCAAGTTTACAAACCTCTGTCCCTTTAGTTGCCGGCAGTCCCATCAAAATATGACAATGGATGCAACTCTCTTACTGACCTAGGACACAGCACCTTTCCAGACTGCCCTGCATTAAGATCCCACACTGGGAGTGTTTCAGGGATTTGCCTGTCCTACTATGCTCATCTGAACCCCTGCCATATTCTGGACATAGTCCAAGGACTTTGGGAGCATTTGCCAGTAGCTCAGCACTCTTATTTCCATCATAGCTCTTCTTGCTCACCTGGAGAGCTGGCCAAAGACATGTGCACTAGCTTCTCAAGCTGCACCCTCTCTGCCAGATAATTGATCCTGCAAAGAAGAAGCGTAGTTGACCAAAGGTCATGAGAAGGAACACCACCTGCTCCTCAAAATAGTTGTCTCCTGCCTTCCAGTGTGACAGGAAAAGTGAGGCATTGAAGTGTTGAGGGGGTCACTCAGGGAAGGGCAGTCCCGCAAAGGGTGAGCACTTGTGCCCTCATGACTTTGAAGCTGGTGCAGAGTCCCCACCAACCTCTTTGGCCTTAGAAGTCCAAGGTCTAAGGAGATGCCCCCACTGGACGCGAGCAATTCTGTAAGACTTGCTAGAAAACCTATGTACCCAGATTCCTCCACTCGGATGTCACGTGTACAAATCTGTGTGAGGCCCATCTTTCGTGGATGTCATTTGTAAGCCTCTGTGCCAGTGAGATCATTGTGACTCCCAAGTTCAGCAGTACATGGATGTCATTTCCTGCCCATCTTGAGCTTCTTGTGGCCCAGACCATGTCAGTGCCTGCACTTTGTTTCATAGCTTATGGAACCGTGGATGACATCAAAATCAGATCATACTCGTGAGAGAGCAGTGGAGACAGCAATGAAGATCTTGAAATTTGTAGCTGAATACTTCCATTTTGATGTGAGTAGCCACTGTGCCTAGGTGCCCACCATCCTTGTGACCAGACTGGGCCTCCCCTTCCTCAAGACAGATCTAAAGCAATGGCCACAATTTGCCCAAAGAACCCTTAAGTTGCCTTGTTGGGGTCAGGCCAGGCATACTGTTGCTGGCCAGAAGCCCCCGGAAACTTCCAGTTAAGTAGGGCATAGAGCGGGCAGCTCCTGCCTCCGGTTTTGGAGCTGTGCTGCCTCCGAGCACAGAGGGTTTCAAGACTAGATGTCTCAGGAGGCCTCTTCTGACTTCGTTGGCTATGTTTCTATGGCTGCTGGGGCTTGTGACTTCTCTCCACAAAAGGTGTGGTGGGGGGCATATTTGCTTGGGCTTGGGACTCAAGGCCGACAGACCCATCCAGCGTGGAGCAGCGTTCCTAGGGAGATTGTACAGTGTTAGCCACTCTCTGAGTAACACGAGGAGAGAGACCCACTTGCTGCCATGCGTCAGGGCAATTGTAGTGCACCAAGCTGAGGACTGGCATGGACTGTCTTTGCTCAGGCTGCTCCAAGCTGTGTGTCCAGCTGGGAGTTCTTAGAGTATCAAGCCATAAAGATGCCTGGGTAGACAAGCAGAGTACAGTCGAACCTAAATTTTAATGGGTTTAATTCTCCCAGATTTGATTACTCATGAGTTTTCCATCAATAATTAAATGGGAATTTTTTTGGAGTGTTGTGACCTTCTGCAGAAAACTATCATCACCATAGAGAGAGGAAGCAAAGGGGGAGCTTCTTGCCCTGCCCCTCTGGAGAGAGAACTCCCTCCAGTATTTCCTTGGTGCAAAGAGGGAGCAAAGGGTGGGGAATAAGAACAGGGGAATCTAATAAATGAAGAGGAGGAGCCCTGCTTGGTCAGAGCAAGGCGTGAGATGGAGGAGAAGATGTAATCGAGGAAGCATATGGTCAACAGTTTTAAGAGTTAAGTTTTGGAGAGGGTAGAGATATTCACAGTTTTTCCACTTCTGTGGGGGTCCTGCACCCCTAACCCCCACAAATGTGGAGGGCCAAGGGGATGTGTTGACTGATGTGGGGGAACAGGCACAGATGCTAAATGACTATTTTGCCTCTGTGTTCTCCCCGAAGTAGGACGGGGGAGATCTGCATGAGGATCGGATGAGGCCAGGGATTTAGGGGCACAGATAAGAGTTGCCCCCTAGAAGTCGAGGGGCTCCTCAGGGCACTGGGCGTTACAAAGGCGCCAGGCCCTGGCGGGTGTCAGAGTCTCTTTACTAATGGCAAGAATGAATCGCAGAGAAGACTGAATCGCCTTGAATCCCTGCATTTTTATTGGTGAGACCACCCAGCCCCCTAACAGTGACTTACGACAGCCTGCTACTGGGTAGTGGTCTCCACCACCAACTACAAGCTTTTGGAACATACACAGAGTATTTCTGCAGATTGAGTCAGATGGGCCCTGGCAGTTGGGCTGCTGATGACGAAATAAGGGGAACACAGTGAGAAGGTGAGAGGTCTGCAGAGGGAGCTTCATACGGTGGCGTTTGATTACAGGATATTAACCTAACGATCACTGAGGCACAGGGATTATTGAGGTCTTGGCATGCAAATGAGGGCAATTGCAGTGCTGTTAACCTGGCAGCCTTATTGGTTCTTACTGATCAGCAAAACAGCAGCCCTGGCAGCGCCTTGTGGGAGCCATCAGGTCCCACTTCTTAAAGTAGCAGCAAATGCCGACAATAACCTGGCTTGGAACTTTTGAGTGCTTCCTGAGAAAGAGGTGCAGGCATTTTAAAACACAAGGGCACATAAGCAACCCCATTTCTGCCAGGATTTATCTGAATTTTCCCAAAATGGGTTACGCCTGAGGGTACTTAGGGAGTTGGCGGGAGTCCTCTCACACCCGCTGGCCTCCATTTTTGAGGCCTCGTGGAGAACAGGTGAGGTTCCAGAGGATTGAAGGGTGACGTCAGTGGTCCCATTCTTCAAAAAGGGTAGCAGAGGGGACATGGGGAATTACAGGTCAGTTAGTCTTATGTCCATTTTGGGAAAGACAGTGGAAAGGCTCATAATAGGAAAAGCTCTGGAAACCCTAGACAAGAGAGGTCGGCAACTATACAACACGGCTTCCGCAAAAACAGGTCCTGCCAGATGAAACTTGTAGAAATCTATGGCAAGGTTTCGAGGTGGCTAAATGGAGGGGATGTGGTGGATGTGGTTTACCTGGTTTCAGCAAGGCCTTCCGCATAGGGATGGGTGCCAGAAGTGCAGGTTAGGGGGCAAGTGGCTGGAGAGCAGCACTTGTGAAAAGGATCTCGGGGTGCTGCTTGACTGCAGGCTGAACATGAGCCAGCCGTGTGATGCGGCAGTCAAGAGGGCGAACGCCACCCTTCGTTGCATAGCCAGAAGTGTGGCTTCCAGATCAAGAGAAGCATTACTGCCACTCTGTGCTACTCTGAGGTACCTGCAGCTGGAGCACTGTGTTCAGTTTTGGGCTCCTCATTACAAGAGGGGTATAGTAAGGTTGGAATTGGTGCAGCAAAGGGCCACAAGGATGGTGGCTGGGTGGCAGGGTAAGTCATGTGAGGAAAGACTGAGGGAGCTGGAGGAGGCGAGTCAGACGGGATGTGTTGGCAACATCCAGCTACGTGAGGGGGGTGCCACACAGAGGTGGGTCGTGACCTGTTTTCCCCTGCAGTGGAGGGCAGGACACGCTCCAATGGAGCAAAGCTCAGGGAACCAAGAGTCAAGGTGTATGCCAGGAAGTACTTCCTGACAGGACCCCTCAGTATAGAATGGGTTTCCATGGGAGGTGGGTGAGGGTGTTCAAGGAGAGTCTGGACATGCACATGGTAGGCATGTCATGAGTGGAGCTGGCTGGAGCCAGGGGTCAGACTAGATGGCCCAGGAGCCCCTTTTGACCTGCTCTGTTTCTATGTTTTCTCATGCCTGGAGAAGCAAATGGCCCTTTGGGGACTTGGGCTTTCCTGGAGAGTCAGTCCATTGGACCTTGCTTTGGTTGCTTTCCTGAAGTCTCTTTTGGACAGTGATGCTCTCACTATTCCTCCCAAGCTGTCGCCGCTGGAAGTCTTTGGCAGAGTACCTTTGCACTGGTCCTGCTCCACACGGCAGCCTGTTAAGCGGACCGGAGCATCTGCAGAGTGCCTGTGGTCATTGACACCAGTGCAGGGTGACACGGACTCCGTGGGTGGCAGAAGGGCTCCACAGAACAGGGAGGGCACGCATGTGCCAGGTGTGAGATGGAAGGTGGCAGGGAAGCCCCCCCCCCCCCCCCCGAGCCCACTGGTCCATCCCTTTTCTCTTATCAGCTCTCACAGGAGTTCAGCAAGCTGGCACACCCGACGGCCCTTCTGATCACCTTGTGCAATGATCCGGTGCAGCGCATCAGTGCCTTGGCCGTGCAAGCAGTCAGCTGCCTCTACGAGGTCCTCCTGCGCCGGAAAGGTGAGGGCCGGCGACCAGGCCGGCTAACCCCTAGGCTGGGCTGTGCCCGGCTGACTCCTTGCCTCCTGGTGTTGATTGCATTGCAGCCGCCTTTTCAGCATGCTGGACGATGCCTTGGGGGTTGCAGAACTGCTGTGCAATGTGTCACAAGGTTAGGCAGACACACCTGGGCTAGCATGTCAGTTGCAGGTGAGCAGCCCACCTCTTGGTCAAATGCACTCACAGGGAACCGCCTTTACCCCATGGCATGCTCTGCTTTTGCCTTTGAGAAGGATTCAGCTGCAGTTGAGGTATCTGAGCTAATTCCCACGGGCCCCAGAAGCGCTTGCTTGCTTGTAACTCATTTTGGACTGCACTGCTAAGACATTTATATTGTACCTAACAAAATATTTGTCACTGTCCTTTGACTGGTGCAGAACCACAGACACCTTTTTGGCTTTCTTCACAGCAGTTTTTTTTCTAAGAACAAGTACAATCTGTCACAAACTGCATGTCCCTGTGAAGCAAGTTTTGGTTGAACAGCTAATTTATTTATTATTTATTTATTTAGCAGGCTTATATGCCGCCCCATTCGCCTCAGCCTCGCGGCGGCTTACAACATAAATAAATAACATTAATATAATAAAATACAGTTGGAGACATCCTGGCCAAAGTTGTTAAAATCAATAAATAAAATCAACAATTAAAATGACGTTTAAATACAATTATTATTATTATTATTATTATTATTATTATTATTATTATTATAACATTTCTATGCCGCCCCTTGCCGAAACCTCGGGGCGGCTTACAACATGATAAAATACATTGAAATACAATAGTACATAATAAATTACCATTAAATATAACAATACAAAAAATACATTGATTTACAAATACAAAATTAAAATTATCAGTATAAAATAAAAATATAGGAGGAGAAAGAGAAGGAAGAAGAAGTTGCCCAGGCCAGATCATATGTTTTAACAATTGAAATGATGTTTAAATAAAAAGGTCTTTACCTGGCGCCGAAAAACCAGTAACGACGGTGCCAGGCGGACCTATAGAACAATAGAAGCAGATGTATGCCAGGTCAGTGCAGAATGAAACCTCCCTCACCCACAATTTAATAGCGGGTGAAACAGCTGATCTGGCATGCAGAACTGAGATCTGGGTGGGTGAAATGGGAGTTTCACTCTCTCCCAGGTGTGCCCACAGCAGTACCTGGTCCAGCATCAGGGTAGACCTGAGGGTCAGGGAGGGAGGGTGTTTCTGTGGTCTATAGGAGTTTCCTCCTTCTCTAGGTGTCCTTTGGCACTGAAACAGCCTTGGTCACCCCATGTAATGACTTATGCTGGGAAGAGATGGGGGGACCTCTGGGCAGCTTTTGATACCAGCAACCACGGTGTCCTTCTGGGGAGGCTGTTGGAGTTGGGAGTGGGGGGCACAGCGAAGCGATGGTCCAGCCCCTACCTGGAGGGCTATCTCTAGAGAGTGGTGCTTGGGGAACAGCATTCAGCGCTTTGAAGTTCCTCAGGGTCTGTTCTGCCCCGATGCTCTTTGCCATCTACATGAACCACTGAGGGTGTGTTGCCACCGGTGTGCTGATGACACGGAGCTCCATGTCTTTCCATCATCAGCTGATGAAATGGTGGGGCTGCTGAGCTGACATGCGGCGGAGGGCTAGCAAACTGAGCCTCAGCCTAGACAGACGGAGGTGCTGTCAGCAGCGGTTCCTTTGGCTGGATAAAGGGTGTTCAGGCTGTTCTAGATGGGGTTGCACAGTCCCCGCAGGGAAAGGTTTGGAGCCGGGAGTGCCCCATCACTGTCACTTTAGGCTCAGGTGACCTCAGTGACTCATAGCGCCTTCTACCAGCTCTGGCTGGGGTCCCAGCTGTACCCTTACCTGGACGGAGACAGCCTAGCTTCACTAATCTGCAGTCTCTCGATTAGATTACTGTGGTACTCTGTGCATGGAGCTGCCCTTGAAGCCAGTTCAGAAATGGCAGCGCAGGCAAAATGCAGCAGCTGGATTAATAGCGAGGGTCCACGGATCCAAACAAGTAAGACCAGCTCTGGCCTGCTTGCCTTGGCTGTCTGCATGTTTCTGGGCCCAATTCAAGGCGCTGGCTTGAGCCTGTAAAGTCTTACGTGGCTTGAGACTGCGATACGTGTCGGAGCGCCTCTCCCGATCTCCATGTACTCGGACACTATACTCCCCCTCTGGGGCCTCCTCGAAGCGTCAGCTCAGGGAGGCTTGGGGGAGGCAAGAACAGGGAGGGCTTTCTCTGTTGCAGCCCCTGTCTGTGAAGCTTCCTCCCCACCACAACCCTCCTGGCGCCAAACTCGTCATCTCGTCGGCGCCATGTTAAGGCAGCCCTCTATGCCGAGGCTTGCGGGGCTTGCCCATCCCGGGTGCTTCATGGCGTCGTTCTTTGTCGTTGTTCGGTTTAGCTGTTCTAAACTTTTTGATGCTTTTCAGCCTTTCTCATATTTTATTGTATTCTGTTGTCTGTTTTATGGGCTGCTGTAAACGGCCCAAAGAGCTTGGGCTGTCGGATGTTATAGAAATGAAATTAGTGATGGTGGTGATGATGATGATGATGATGTTGAGGATGATGATGATGATGCACTTGAAACCATCTCAGCAATTCAGCCCCTCCCCTCCCCCATTCCTTCTTTCCTCCCACCTGTCCACCCCAAACTGTACGCCTGCTGCTCCTCCTCATAACTGTCCTCAGAGCCGCCCCAGTTCCTGGCCACGGGGTCTCACTCAGGTTCATCTACCCCACTCGTGCTTCCAGGGCTGCTGTCTTTCCCGCCTCCTGCTGCGACACGGACTTGGCTCGCCTGCCTGCTGCGTCCCGGGCCCTTCCCCACTGCTTCCAGGCCAAGCGCTCCTTCTCTTTGCCTCCTCCTGCCCCAGGCCTGCCCTCCCTTGCCCTGCCCTCCTGCTCTCCGCGTCCTCTTCACTGGCCAGTCTTCAGGTCCTTGGGTGCCCTGCACGCCCCTCCCTGTTCCAGGTGCGACCCACCTCATGGCCATCCTGCCGGGGCCTCGGGGCCCTGTGCAGCCAGCGGGTGCTGTGGCTGAGTGCACTCCCCTCCCTGCATTTCCCGCTAATTGGAGGCTAACAGCTGCTCTGCTCCGCCCCAGGACTGAAGATGAGCAAACCGAAGAGGAGAACGTGGTCTGTGAAGAGGAGATTAAAGACCCCAGAGGAGGAGTGGCTTGCTTTTTTGGCACTGGACAGCAGCTGGCACATGGCAATGGTATTGTGGCTGCTTCTGAGATGCTGGGGGTAGCAAGATCTTGCGCAACAGCCAGTGCGGCCCTGGGCTAGTGGCTGCCTTGCACCCGCAACCGAATGGGAGCAGCTTGGCATTCTTTGGTGGTGGTAGGGTGGGTCGGAAGCTGGGAGCAAGGGAGCTCAGCACCCCTTCTAGAAGTCTCCTCGGCAAGTCTCCCAGCTTTAGCCAGGCTGTATCAGCGGCAGCAGGGGGTGTGGGGCCCATGGCCAGGGTGCAGGTGGCCAGAGACAAGGGAAGGCAGGACCGACAGAGGCACTAGGACCAGGGCAACTGACCTGCAGAAGGGACAGTCTGAAGGTCAGCTTTAATGGGAAGGCTACGCCATAGTCATAATGCAGGCAAAGGTCAGGGACCAGCAGAGCGCACCAAGACTGAACAAGGCTGTGGCTGAAGAGCAGGAGGACCAGCAGGGCTGCACGTACGCTGGGCAGGATAACAGGGCGGGACGACAGCATGGCAGGATGCACAAGACAACAGATGCGGCAAAGGTCAGGCTGGACGTGGCAGCCGCACCCCGGCAACCGGGAAGCTGCGTGTGACTGAGACAACACGGCAAGGCGGGAGACACCGCCAGGGCAAGATTGTGTCAGGCAGGAGGCAGGTGCAACGGCAAGGAAACGTGGGAAGGCAGGAACCAGGGGCAGGGGCTGATAGGTACGAGGGACGCAGGCACCGCAGCGAGCAGGCGGGCCTGTGCTGCCGAGGGAGCCGTGCAAGGCAGGGGACAGGCAGAGGCGGGGGGGGGGGGGGGGGGCAGGCCAGGTGCAGCCCCTGCAGCCACAGGAAGAGCTGTTTTGCTGAGGCCAGAAGGAGGAGCTTCCTCTCATGTAGTCCCCCCTCCAGGATTCCCAGCTGGCGCTGGTCAGTGGACGGAGAGCTCCAGCGTTGCGAAAACACCCTTCACTTGCTTGCCTGCTTGCTTGCCTGAGGGGACTGATCCCCGACTCCAGTCGTCTTGGGAGATGCAACAGAGACCAATGGCTCTCAGTCCAAGAGGCCTTTCTCAAAAACCAGCTGCTGTGGGGGTGACGCTCCGGCTCACACAAAAAGAAGCTCCACACCCGGCCCCATCATTCATGGGCAGTTGCACTCTCCATCTCTGAGGGTGTACAGTTCTGAATAGCCAATCAGCAAGCGACACGCTCTGCCATCGGCTTGCTTTACCTAATCATAATGCGGCCTCATTATGCACGCAATAAGGCATTCCAAAGAGCACAACATCTACCAGCAATGGCTGTCTGAATGTGTTTCTCCAGGCTGCATTTTTATTTTATTTTATTTTGTGCAACATATATCTTTGCTGCAACCCCAGCAAGGCCTGGGATTGATCCTGGGAACACAGTGGTGCTTGCTCTGGTTCTGGCCCCCACAGCTGCCCACATCCTGACAGTGGGGCAGGACCCATGGCTCTCCTCAGGGAATGGGGAGCCTGCACAGCACCCAGGAAATGGGCCTCTGCTGCACATTTGTGGCACGTCCAGCATCATGAGGGCCCCCGAACAGCCACCGAGCAGCATCGTCCTGGCGTCGCCCAGCAGGGGACCGTGGTTTGTCTCTCGATGCACCAAGGCCATTTCATGCACGCAGCACAGAGAGACCTGCCAGGGCCCTTCAGGCCAATCCCTGCAGGGACCCCAGAATCTGCCCTGGCAGACGGCGCCCTCTGAGCAACTCTGCAGTGGAGCTTGCACTGGGGACCCCAGACCCAAACGCGTGGTGCATCGGGGGGACTTGTGTGCGCAGCGGCTCATGGGCGGGCGCATGGCTCTTCCGGAGGAACGCGAATGTGGGGGTGGCAGGCCCCTTAACTGCGGGTGCTGCTGGGGAGGCGGCACCCTCCCTCCCAGGCTCCGTGGCGAAGGGTCCGGCCTCACCAGTCCTCTCTCTGGTCCTTGCAGCATCTCGGTGACCAAATCTTCGCGGCTCAGCTGACCAACCTCCTGCTCTCTGTTCTGCATAGCCTGAGAGACTCCAGGGCAGAGCTGCTGAAGGCCGCAGAAGAGGTGCTCAATGCAGTTCTGCAGAACCATGCCAGGAAAGTTGAACGGGTGAGGCCAGAGCCCATCTCCTTTTCTGTCTTCCTCCGGGTCTGGCTGCTTTCTTGAACAGTCGCTAGCATAGATGGGATACTCAGGGGGAGAACAGTTACCAACATACCCTCAACCATCCTGCAAAAGACAAGAATGACTGGTGTCTTAGAATCGTGGAATAGTAGAGTTGGAAGGGGCCAAAGGGCCACCAGGTTCCCAGATCCCAAATGAGCATCTCCTTGGTAAGCGCTATTAGTAGTGATACGTAGATAGGCAGAGAGATGAGTGTCTAAACAAAGTGGAGCTGGGCTGAGCACCTCGGGAGACACTCTTTGCAGAGGCTGCCATGACGCTTTGCCCCCTGAACAACCTGGGAACTTCTCACTCCAGCAAGTCCACCTGTAGCTCAGCAACCTACTGACCAGCAGAGACGCAGGGAGGGCTGGCAGAGTCCCTCAGGCACACGAGCTGTTGGGGCTTGGAATGCGCGCCTTCTTACGCCTCCCGGCAGCAAGCAGCTGCTCTTTTGTGGGTGTTGATGTTCTGAGGTGTCCCTTGTCCATCTTCTCTGCTGAGCCAGACAAGATGGAGGCTTTGCCTGCAAAGTGGAAGACATCCATGGCCTGTGGAGCCTCAGGGAACTCGGACGCTCTCACAGAGCAGCGGCTTTGGGTGTGCAGCCCACCAGTCATCCGGGTGGCATCATATTTACACAATTTTATTTCATTTGCAGAACATTGCTGTGCCACCTTTTTAATTCTAAAAGGGTCCCAAGGAGAACCCTAAAATATCAATATAAAAGAAAAGAAGCCAAAATGAAAAAGATAAAGGAAACCTACCTAGAAAAAATGAAAAGCATTCGATAGGCTTCTGGAGCAACTGCCTTACTGGGCATGTGTGGGCACCCCCTCCCCCCCCACACACACAGAGCAGAGTGGGGCAGAGCAGGCCCTTCTGCAGCTGGCTGGGGGACCTCAGGGCTGGCAGTGGAAAGTCCTCAGGAGCACAGAGTATCCAGGCGGTGGCTCAGCAGAGACTGGCTCCACCTGCAGCAGCCTCCACCTCACAGCCCTTCTCACGGTGAGAGAGCCCAAGTCCCTCAGCAGCCAGCGGGCTCTGTGGAGACGCAATGCGCAGCCCATGCACAGAAGCATGCCTGGCTCTGTCCACCTCCGCCAGACTTGAGGCAGGCCTGGGGTTCTTCCATTTGCCCAGGTGAAGGATGTTGTAGGAGCCATCTACATGTGCCTGCAGCTGCGGGAAGCCTCGTACTGGACGCGGAAAGTGGTGCTGAAGGCGTTGGCGTTCATGATCCCGTATCACATGGAGGAGGTCATGCGGAGCTGCCTCTCGTTCTCCATTCCCATCAACAGGTAGGAGGCTGGTCGGCCCCGGCGAGAAGCTGCGCCCCTTCTGCAGCCCCGCCGGGCCGCTTCCCGGGGGCCACCCAAGCCTCAAGCCTCTAATGGACTTGTGTCCCACCTCTGCTGACTTTGCAGGCACACCAATGAGCTCTGGGCAGCCATGGCTTCGGGCCCACAAGTGGCCACGCAAGTCCTGCAGCTGCTGCTGAAGAGCCTCCAGGTCAAGGATCCCTGGCAAGGGGACGAAGTCAGCACGACCACGTCTCTGGCTGTAAGTCGCACAGCGACCGAGAGGCCTTGCCAGTTTCTGCCTCCACGAGGCTGCCTGGCTGTCCTCCAAGGGGCATTTCCTTGCGGCTGGAAGGAGGCAGAGAAACCTGAAACTGACCACTTTCTTCTCTCCGGGGGAAATGAGATAAGCTTGGACCATGTGTTACCCCCCCCCCCCCCATGCCATTTGAGCAGTCTTCTGCAGGTCCGGCTCATGCCTCCATGGGATTCACTGTCCACCACTCCACCCTCCCCTCCCCTCCCCTCCCCTCCCCTCCCCTCCCCTCCCACTCTATGAGCAGGGGAGAGGCAGAGGTGGCTGAATAGAAAGGCCAAGTGGCAAAGCCCACTGAGAAGTAGCTGGGCCTGGGCAGCACGGAGGAATGAGTTCCTCTCCCTCCCAGGGTCCCCTCATGCAGCGGATCGGTGGGAAGTTTAGGGGAGATGAATGGAAGCACTTCTTCGGACAGCAAAGACTCAAGCTATGGAGCTTGCTGCCATGGGAAGTGGCGATGGTTGCCGAGCTGGAAGCCCTTCAAAGGGGATTGGGCAGATTCCTGAGAGAAGAGGCTCAGAGCTACCAGCCTTGTGGGCTGCAAGCTACCAGCCCCTTTACCAGAGATGGTCTGCCTGCGCACACCGGTTGCTGAGGAGCACAGGCAGGTGGAGGTCTTGCACCCATCCTGCTTGAAGGACGCTGTGGATGGCTGGCGTGTCGTGGCGTGAATGAACTGCTAGACTCAGTGGACCTTTGGTCTGATCCAGAATGGCTTTTCTTATGTTCTTAAAATGAGCTTCAAACTGTCTTTCAAGGTTGAACCCTCTTGAAGTCAGAGAAAAAAATTGTTTTAAAAAGCATGCCGAGATAAATTACGGTAGCGGCCTAAAAATAAAGCAAGCAGCTATGCAGAAAAAGTGATCACAGGATTAAGCACAGCACCCAAACGGGAGAGAGGGGGAAATGTGGTGCTTCCAAGGCCGCGCGATCGTGACATTGGCAGCTTCCCCATCTTTTTCTGCTTCCTGCTCCACTAGCATAAGAATGTAGGAAAACTTTACTGGATCAGACCAAGCGCCCAGCCAGCCCAAAAGTCTGAAGAAACAATCAAGGTTTGGGGAGGTGTAAAATCGTGTTTCCCCCTCAGTGTCCCCTGGGATATATATCTGTGGGAGGAGTGAGAAGAGAAGGGGCTACCTCGGCCGATGTGACCAGAGTGAACCCACCAGGACTGGTGCTAAGGCTGCCTACTCAGATGCATTGTGTTACCTCCAATAATTCCCTTCCAGCCCCAGTGAAACCCAATTGCGCAATTCAAGTCCAATTGTGCTGGGAAATTGTGCGGCGTTGTGCGCTTTTGAATCTCACTTCAAGTATGGAGGCAGCCTGGGAGGCTGGAACTGTGTGGGTGTGGAGACATGCATAGAAGCAGCAAGTTGCCTTCACTAAGACTCATTCCTTGTCCTTTCTCACCTTCAGGCCATGAACGTCATCTATGAGACCTTCCGCATTCCTGGGTACCGGACAGCCCTGGCACAAATGCACCTTCAGTTGTTCATCCCTTTGCTCAAGCAGGTCCTCTTTGTGATGCAGCTCGATTTGCCCGATTCTCTAAAGGCCAGGCAGGAAGTCATCCTGAGGGAAAACCCCGAGGCACTCAGCTTCCAGAGGTACCTGAAAGAACTAATAAGAGAAGGTTGGCTGTGCTTAGAACCAAAACTGGAAGGCTCTGTGCAGCTGTCCTAGTCCAATCCTTTGCCCGGTGCAAGAATCTGCAAGTATAGCATCCCTGGCAGACAGCCCTCCATCTTCCACCTAGATATTCCCAGCCAAGGGATTCTTGTCAGCTCCCGAGGCAGGTTGTGCCAGAACGTAGCGCCTCTTGTGGCTGGGGAGCCTCTGCTAATGGTCTGCTGAGATCTGCCTGCAGATCGCCAGGCAGCTGGTTCCCCTGATGTATTGCTCTGATAGGGAGGAAGCGTTTCCCGACATCCAGCCTGAACTTGGGATTGCTATGAGATCTTGTGGGAGGAGTTGGTGCAATGGGCTTCCAGGTGTGGGACTATAAGCCTTGTGTAGCAGCCCCATCCTCCCCACCAGAACAGATGTTCTGTGGGGAGAAAACAATGGGACAGCTGCACCTGAAGATGACAGCACCTGTGCAGCTCCTGACCAGGAACGGGCTGAGTGGTACTTGTGTAGTGGAAGCTGATCGGGGCACCTGCAGGAGCCACCTGCAGGCAGCCCCAGACACTCTCCGTCCTCCCCATACTTGGCTGGGCCAAGTCTCTTTGCACCGCTTGGACACGGAGTTCTTCACATCCACCCCCCCACCCCCCCACACACACCCTGCAGCCGCTCCCTGTGCCTCACCCAGCCTTGTGGCAAAGTAGAGCTCGTGGCCACAGGGCACCTGCTCAGGGTACGGGGGCCACAGGCGTGAGGGAGGAGGTGCGGGCCGCTCCGCTCCTGCTGGGACGGGCCCCGGGAGGACAGCCAGGCCAGGCTCCTCCTGGGGGCTCTCAGTGGCACGCCTGCTTCCGCTGCCCAGCACGGGCCGGGCACAAGCCCAGGCACAGCCTCTCCTCTGAGGCTGCAGCAGGAGCCATGCCTCAGCCTGGAGCCAGGGCGGGACCACCCCGGCCCTGGGCCCACATATCCGCTGCAGGGGAGAGCAGAGTGGGGCACCTGCATTGGATCCAGCTTCTGGTTTCCATTTATAGCACCTCGGTGGAGATCATGAAACATCTGTTCTCGGTGGCGGGGGACTGGGCGGTGTACGCCTGCATCGAGTTCCAGCAGGGGTGGCTGGTGCTGAGCACCCCACAGCGGTTCTTACAGGGCACACGCCTGTTGGCAAGGTAAGAGGCTCGGCCGACGCTCCACCCCCTCCCCTGCTGCACCTGAGGTCAAGGATCAACGCTGCACCTCCGCCACCCCCTCGCTTGCTGGCCCTGCCCCACACAGGCCTCCCCCTCTTGGCTGCTCCCCCCATCCCCTCGGGCACCAGAGGTGCCTTGCTCTGCCCTCGCTCATTGCTCCGTCAAGCACCTTCTGCACGGGGGCTGCAGCGGTGGAGCACCTCCCTGCTCCACGGGAACAGCGGGGCACCGTGTGCCACGGAGCACCATGCCACCTCTGCCCTCAGAGCCTGGCCCGCCCGCCCAATGCGACCGGCGTGTGGCCAGGCATCGGCGAGCGGTGTGCCCCCTGCCCCTCCCACCCCACGGTGCTGGACAGAGCCCCGAGGCGGGGGGCCCTCTGGATGGGCCACTGCTCCTGCCATGCTGCTGCTGTTGGCCGCCTGCCGCCTGTGCGGAGCTGACAGGCTCAGGGATGAAGAAGAGCCGAGCCGAGCCGAGCCGAGCCGTGCAGCCCCCAGGCTCTGGCTGCTGGAGCCCCACCTCATGCAGCGTCAGGCCTCGGGGGGCTCGTTCTTCATTTAATCAGGCGGAGAGCGCTGATCAGGCCCGCCATGGAGGTTCTTGGCGTGGAGGGTGGGTCCCCCACTCCCATCTTCCCCTTGCAGGCTCCCTCTTCTGTCTCACAGGGCCATGACTGAGTGTGAGAGCCCACAGATCCCCGGCATCTTTGGGGAGGCAGCTCTCATCCTTGACAGCGGGGAGGATGAGCTGAAGAAGATGACAGCCTTGGCTTTAGTCATTGAGGTGAGAGAGCCCAGAGCAGGCTGGCCTGGGAGGCAGCCCACCCAGTTCTCCTCCCATGGGAGTGCTGCCCCTTCCGGCCAGAGCAGAACCATTGGGAAGCAGAGCAGCTACCTGGTGGGCTTCCATTGCATTTCTCTCCCTTTAGTTTCTCAAGAGTCCATCTGCTGTCAAGATGATGAACAGGTTCAGCCTCAAGGACCATCTTGAAGAAGGCTCAGCAGCCTCCAATCCCGTCATCAAAGATCTCTGTGCAAAAGGGCTCTGCAGTTTTGTTTTTCAACCAGAGAAGGTAAATGCCAAAGGGGTCACGAGGAGGAGCACAGCATGCGGGGGAGGGAGGCAGATCCTCGGGGGAGAGGGCGGCAGAGGAGGTGGCGCTCAGCATGTTGGTCTTGAGTCCCCAGGGCTGGAGGAGGGAGCGTGGCCCCCTGAGGCCACACTGCTTAGTGCGCATGTTGCGCTCTCTGGTAGCCAGCCACTGGCAGCTTCTGGTGGCAGTAATAGACAATCAGAGAAGAGTCCCCATTTAGAGATTAGGAATGCAGAGTGGTTCCCCCAAAGCCATTGGGGGCCCCCAGGAGTTGGGGGGAGTTAGAAGCATAGAAACAGAGAGAGTGAGAAGGGGGTCTCCCGGGCCATCTAGTCTGACCCCCGGCTCCACTCATGACTTGTCTTCGTACTTTTCCTGCCAGTCGGATCACACACAGTTTGTTTAGGGGGGCATGCCAGAGATCAGTCCCTTGGTGCAGCACCCCCAGGCAGCAGGAGCACAAGTCTGCCTTCCCCGCGAACCCAGCGCAGCGACAAGCAACTGCCGTGTGGCAGAAGGGACGGGTTCTAGTCACCGGAAGCCTCATGGGTCTCTCATCCCATCCCTCCTGGAGCTTTGCTTCTCCCATGGAAGAAAAGTAGGGCAACCATTTATGAATCAAGAAAAACAAGAGGCTGGATATTTGCATATGCTAATTTAGGCATAAAGGATGTAAATTTAGAAATATCATCATTTCATCATATATGCAAAGCATATGTGCTGGTGGGGAAGCTGCAAGCAGGTCGCCAGCAGGCCTTCAGCTCAGTCTGTGGCCCACCTGTTGCTCACGGTGCACAGAGCGCTCCAGGGCTCCCCTTTCCTGCCCCCCTTTCTTCCCGCTTCATTGACAGGCATCTTACTGCCTAAAACGCCACCAAAATACTACACAAACAGAGAAACAGAGCAAGTCAAAAGGGGTCTCCCGGGCCATCCAGTCTGACCCCCGGCTCCAGCCAGCTCCGCTCACGACATGCCCACCATGTGCATGTCCAGCCAATCCTTGAACACCCTCACCGATGGGGCCTCAATCACCTCCCGTAAATTAAACAATTAAAGTATTAAACAATTAAAGTAAGAACCTTGGAAACAGTAAAAACAACAAAGACTTCTAAACTACATGGTTTGTAAAACTGCATTGAAATTGGGGTTATCTTTCAAGAAGATCTGGGCTGGACAACCTGTCGGACTGAGGTTGCCCTGTAGCAAAGCTGCAAGCTACAGGGATATCCACCAGCTACAGGGACATGTTTGCATGCCCCCTGGGTCACCCGGCGTGTCCCTTCCTCCTGGTGTTTTCTTCCCCGGGGTGGGGTGGGGCTGCACCACCTTCTCCAGCTGGGAGCTGATGATGAGGCCCAGCCCCCCTCCCCGGACTTCCCCACATTTCCCTCTCACTTGTTCAGGTCAAGCTGCTACGAGACCAGCTCCCAACACTGATCAATGCCGTGTTCAGTGGACACGAAGGAAGCATCCTTGAAGGCCTGCGGGACATCATGACCACAGTCTATGAGATGGATGGCCAGAGAATCGGACCCCTTTGTGTTGACCTTGCTGTGAATGTTCGCTCGTTCTTTGAGGATGTAAGTCTTGGATGTTTGCAGTCACAGCAGAAGTCATGCGAAGTCACCCCGGGCTACTCGGGACACTGTGCCAGTTTTCACACCAGCCAGCACGTGGTCCTCCACCTCAGGGTGGAGCCGCTGGAGGCCATCGCACCCTCTTCCCGGCTGCCTCTGTACCGCCACTGCTGATGGAAAGGAAGTGGGCGGAGCGTTTGGGAGAAAGCTAACGGTAGAATGGGGCAGTTTTCCAAGCCCTTAGAGACACTTGAGGATTTTTTCTGACCTTTCCCAGTTTATTTTCCCCTGAGAAACTTGGAAAATCCCTGAACCAGTCTTCAGAGATCTGTCCCCATTCTACATGTGGCAATATACAGATGCTGGACCAGGTCAGCCTTCCAAAGCCAGGGTGCCACCACTGAAAAGGCTCTTCCTGCCTCTGGAAGAGTGGGGCCTGAGGAAGACCGCCCAATGCATGGGCAAGCTCAGGGGGCAGAGCTGGTCTCTGGGGGCGCCGAGTCACTGTGCTTGGACACAACTGGACTTCCACCTTCCAGAAAGGGCCGTTGCTGGCGAGACTCCGGCCTGAACGGTAAAAGGAGATTCACGCCTTAGAAGCTGGTTGGCACCCTCAAGACAGTGGGCCTTGCCATGTAGCTGGGCTCAACACCGCCTTCCAAATCCCTTGCATCACCCACGGAAAGTGCCAGTCGTCGGGGTGAAATCGAGCTTTTGTTCCTCCATCTGACTGCAAGCACTGAAGCTGCACACTCCCAGGACAAGGAGAAAAGGTGCTGGGCCCGCTAAAACGGCTGATGAAACCTCCGCCCCATGCATTATTTGAAACTGCCCGATGCCTCATCATAGAGCGTAGGCTTTGGGTGGCACCAGAAGCGGAGCAGAGCCAGCCCCAGGCAGCCCTGTGGGCAGACTATTGCCCAACCAGGAGGCTGCTGCTGCAAAGGCCCTGCTCTCTGGTCCCCTGGAGGGAATTTGAGAAAGTTCAAGATTTAAATGTTGAAATGTTGTCAAATTCTAAATTTAGCAAAATTGATTTAATTTCTGTTCAACATCTTGTAGAAGAGGCATAGCTTCTCTTACCACAGACACTGACATACACAGGCAGGTGAAGCACCTGCCATTCTGGCCAGGCCGTTTGGCCACGTCCAAGTAAAGCGACCCCAAGAGGGCTTGGCTCTGCACAGCAGACCAGCCTCCCCTGCAGTCCCCTCTCCTGGGCTTCAGGTGTGCTCCTTGGTATGTCATTCCTAGGAAAGGGCTGACGTTCGCGCAATGGCCATCATGTTGTTTGGGCAGCTGGTGATGAGAACGAGAGATGCTGACAAGAGCCTCCTGAAGAAGGAAGTCGTATACAGCCTGCTCTCTTTGCTGCTGCACCTGAAGGACCGAGACGGCACGGTCGCCATGGCAAGTCTAGCTGTCCGCACGGAGCAGAGCCAAGCCCTCTCCACAGTGCATATGCGGGGGGGGGGGGGTCTGTGGCCCAGCTCTAATGCCCTTGCTCCAGGGCCAGCCCTCCCACGGGGCAGGGGGGTCCCACACTCTGCAGTCAATTGGCACGGGGCAGATGCCACTGCTCTGTGTTGGCCTCCCAGCCCCCGCCCTGCTCTCCCTTGTGGCAAATGCCACCGTGAGAGCCCAGCAGGCCTGCAGGGCTCCTAGCCCCCAAAGCCCCCCCACACACACACACACCTCCGTCTTGCCTAAATTGAGCAGATAGGCAAGTGAGAGGACAAGGCACAAGTGCAAAACGGGAAGCAAAGAGGGACAAACCAGAAGTCCCACGTGCCGCTGAAAAACACGATTGCCCTACCTGTTCCAGAAATACGCTTCTGCAGGGGCAGCAGAGGAGCAAACATAGCCAAATGTGGCCATTTAGTGTTTCAGTCAGTGTCTCCAACTCAGCGCACCACTCAGTTTGCTGGTGTGGCTCCAAAGCATGCAGAGGCAGCGGAATTAAAAAGATGCTGGCATGTTCCTCGTAATCCTAAAGCCCTTTCTTCAGCAAATGCATTAATGCAATTACCTTCATAACTTTTATAGTACTGTATACATTAAATTCTATAAAGACATGTGAATAGAATCGGTTCATCTTGTGTTTATATATGTAAAACTGCCACTCATTCCACTACATTCACCACTAGATGAAAAGAATAAAACGTAACTATAACTTTGTAATAAGAATATATAAAGATAAGTAACAGATAAATAACAAGAATGCCTTACGAACCTGTAATAAGCTACACCTTATTACATAGCATATTCAAGGTGTATAATAACATTTGGATAAAACTACAACCCAAACTGCATGAGCTAAATAATTATTGGCATTAGCAAAACTGCAGCATTTATTTATGCATTAGATTTTCAGCCCACCCCATTAGCTACAAGACTCCCTTGTGAAAAGCCATATGGTAAAAAAGCCATTATTGTTTGAAAAAATCATACGACAACAATATCCCTTAGTCACTAAGTCTCCCTTACGGTCGGTTGCTCACGCGATTGCCAGCAATCGTGTGCCAATTTTACACTGGAATTCTTCTGAATCTTTGGTCAACTTCAATTCTCTTTTGCTGCACATTGCATATAAGCCATCCTGATGGCATGTGGCTTTTCAAAACTATTTTTCCCATTAAAACATTCTTCCCTTAATCAAAGGGAATTTATTGCTCATATTTATTTATAGCTATTAAACTGCTCTTTTAATGCTGTAATTTAATAATTACCTAAGAAAAAAATGGAAAAGGGAGAGGAAAGATGAAAAAAGCCTTACTCAGACTACAAGTATGCAGTCCTCCATGCTTTCTATTTAATAATGGGCTTATTTTGACATAATTATTGCAGTCACAAAATAGGTTAACAAACTTGTTAGTCAAATGTTCACTAGAAAGTTCCTATGCATTACTCACCACAACTCACCACAAAATCATCCATTTGTTATGCAAAAAGGGACTCCGCCTACACACTTGTGGCATGTCCAACTCCTGTGTGAACTGATGCGAGTTATCCTGACAAACAAGCGGCCCCCCCCCCCCCCCGCTTCAGGGAGCCGCAGGGCAGGCTGCCCCAGAGGGCTGCCCAGGCTAGGACTGGGGCAGGGAAGGGGAGTCTGGGGGGTCCAGCATGGTTTTCCAAGCAGCATGGGCCGTCACAAGTGGAGCCAGCAGGAGCCGTGAGTCAGACAGGATGGCCCAGGAGGCCCCTTCTGACTCGCTCTGCTCCTATGTAGCTCCACGAGGAAGGTTTGGAGGGGAAAGAAAAGGGGGTCAGGCCGTCCCATTGGGACAGCTAAATCTGGGCAGGCTCCAGGCAAGTGTGATGGAGCTGTGGACAAGGCGTCTGACTGGTTGGGGCAGGAGGGCCCTCCTGGGCCGCCTCCGCCAGAAGCACCTCTTTGGATCCATAAACCTTACAGGGTGGCAGGTCTGCATTTACTTACTTATTCGACCTCCAAGGACTCTCTCCGCGGGTTTTCTCTTTGGCTACAGAGGTGCAAGTTGACGCTGCTGCACTGCGGCATCTTCCTCGGATGGGCTCACCTGAAGCTGATGTTCCGCAGCATGGCCTGGGATGACCTCTGGAGCTGCCTGGTAAACGTGTGGAAGTACTTGGTCAGTGGCGCATTTCCTAGCAGTCAAGGCTTTTGCCGTCGTCGTTGCTGCACTGTATTATATCCAGCCCTTTTCTCCTTTTGTGAGGAATCCAAGGCACCTTGCACAGCAATCTGCCACTCCATTTTATCCTCACAACAACCCTGTAGAGTAGGTAAGGCTGAGAATGCGTGATTAGCCCAACGTTACCAAGTGAGCCCAGCACTCACCCACAGAGCAAGCTTGCTTTTGAAGAGGCAAAACTTTTTGCATAAAATGTAGCCGAGAAACTTGCTACTAGCCAATATATAACACATTTGTGTATATTAACGTTGTGGATTAGGCTACAGAGAACTGAAGGGGCTCCATGCTGTCTGTACGGCTCACAGACACCTCACAGGAACCCTGAAACAGGATCAGGCCAAAGGAAAGCGGCCCCGCCAGCCCCACACCCTGCTGCCTTTGCAGCCACGCAGGTGCCCCGAGGCAGGCGAGGGCCTGCTTCCACCCCGCCCCCGTTGACTGGCGCCTGCAGGTGCCAGCAAGCCCTCGTGAGGAAGGGGCTGCTGGTGGGCCCTTCCCTCCACAGGTTTTTATGTCCCCTTTCAAGTCATCCAAGCTAGTGGCCACAAATATCATACGACAGCAGATTCCATAAAACAAAGGGACTTGTTCTTGCCCACAATGAGCATCTTTCTATTCTGCCTTCAGGAACTCTTTCTGTACACCATTCTGAGAGCTTTTGCTAATTGAACCTTAAATTAAATAAAAACCTTAAATAAATCATACATACATACGTACATACACCTCCTACCCCAGTCCAGTAGGAAGAAGTCCAGGCCCCAGTGGCTCCTGCAAGCTAAATGCCTAGTCCGGGTGCAAGTCATGGGTAACAGTGCCACAACACCTCTGTTTGGGGCATAGGGAGGACTGGATCCAGGCCCATGTGCCACTGCGATCACACCCTTGGCAGAAGGAACCGGCCTTTCTGGTGGAAGGGGAGGGGGAGTGCATGGGGGCTCAGAATGAGGAAAGGGCCGACCCGGCCACGTTCCACTCTGGCACTCGCAGTGGCAAAAGGTGATCTCCCGCAGGGTCCCTCTGCGTGCATGTGGCCCAACGCGCTGCCCGGCCCGCCAGAATGTGCTCTGTGAAGCAGCACCCCAGAACACAGGGGCGCCCAAACGCCCGTCTCGGTCAGACCAGGCCTTCCACGGACTGCTGAACGCCCCGTGACTCCACAGGCCAATCCAGGCTTGGAGCGCGAGGGTCACCTCCTCCGCAAGCGCTCACTGAGGCAAAGGCGGGCCCCGGCCCAGCACCAGGGGCCAGAGAACGTGGCGGACCGGCACGGGGCTGCCTGCACTCCTCCAGCTCGACCTCAGCTGGCACTGCTGTTTGTGGGAGAAACCGCAGCGCTGGCGAGGAGGCGAGGGAGAGACCCTCCGAGCAGAGCAGAGCTGCACTGGGTGCACCTCCTGGGGGGGCCTCAGAGGCCAGCCCCCTTCTCCCGCAGGCCATTTGGGGTGCCCTGCTGGGCCAGGGTGCAACCCACACGGGACCTGCAGCTCTGCTCCTTTAGCCAACTGTACTGATGCCTAATTGGGCTTCATGTGTGGGGGGTTTATAGCTGTGCTTATTATTATTATTGATATTATGTATCATATTATGTATTATTGTATTATGCACTACTGATATTAGGTATTATTTTATTGTACTAAGTTTTGTTTTGATTTTGAGTTGCTGTTAAATATTGCATTGCTTGATTGCACTGCTTGAATATCTTATTGTATCTGTATGGAATATGTATTTTCTTGTTCTATTGTAAGCCACCCAGAGAGCCCTATGGGTTTTGGGACAGCATACCAATGTAGCAACAAGAACAACAACAACAACGACATCACTCTATCAAATGTCAAAACTGCCCAACAAGAGGCCATGTGCTGCTCATACCTGAGACTCTGCCTACAGAGGCCATTTGCTGTTCTAGCTCGAACCCGAACCCGAGACTCTTCCTAAAGTCCACAGTCCTGTAACTCGATGCCGGGCTCATCTGGGTCTGTGGCACAGCTGAGCCCAGGAAAGGCCTTTGCAGCCTGCGAAATCCCAGCCAGCTTGATGAACAGGGCAGCCCAGCTGTGCTCGGCAAGTGCTCTACTCAGCTGTAGGAACAGCCCGTTCCCAAACAGGAATCAGAGGGGCGTGTGACGCACCCACTTGCCTTTTCTTTCTCTGCAGATGAGGAACAACCAGGACAGTATACACATCTTCATCTCCCAGGCACTGGGGTGCCTCCATCACCCCCAGGTGGAAATGAGGCACACAGCAGCACGATTCATCGGTAAGCTGGGAGAAACGTAGCCCAGTGGGGAACTGCCTCCTGGGGAATTGTCTCTTGGCCCCGCGGAAGCAGAGCTGACCCTATCCATCCTCCGCCCCACAGCCCTCCTTCCAATATCAAGTGTTCTCCAGAGTTCCTGGATGCATGAATATTCAGCAGACCTTGGCCATTATCCATATAATTGTCTGTCACATACACCAGTTCATTTAACTAATCTGGAGGCAACAGAAATAAAAAGTGCTATTTCAAAGCATTTCAAAGTGGAGCAGCTTTCTGCTGGGGAAAATTTTCAGTACCAAAACCGGAACTGTGAAACGTAGTCATTTCCTTCTGGTCCCGTTTCAACTCACTCTGATGTGGGCAGCCACCGAGTAGCAGAGTCGCTGTTGCGGTGCTGTTCCCACGCGGGACGTGGCTGACCCCCGAGGCTCCTTCCCCCTTGTGCTGGCCGCACAGGCCCGTCTCCGGGCAATTCCGCCACCGGAGCCCTGCGTGGCGGGCAGCTGCTGTGGCTGCCACGGGCACAGAGCTCAACGGCTGCCGAGCAGACTCTTCGTAGGTGGCGCGCCAGAGACCCTCGCTCTGCGCTGCAAGGGCTTGTGGGACACACTGACTTCCCCATCTTTTTGCCCCTTCCCATTCTTGCATTACTGCAATTTTCACCATTCGCTGCTCAGGAATTCTTTCGAAATGTAAAACAGTGTATGCATTCATAAACAGACAAAATGTGAGGCCAGCCGTGCGGGGCCCCACGGCTGCCACGCCTGCCACTGCCCTGCAGTTGTGCTGCGGGGGAAATTAGCTGTGGATGCCATGCCAGTCCTGTGGGGGCTGGCGGGCTCTCAGGGAAGCCCGGGAAGCGGAGCTGCTGGGAAGCTGCATCCGTGGAGAATCTGAGAGAGCTCCAGGACAGGGCACAGCTGTCAGTGCTGACTGGGACGCCTTGTTATCTTTCTCTCCTTAGCCAATTTTGTTGGGTAAGAGAAAATACAGACGTGGTGGGAAAACATGGGAGGATCACAAGTGGATCATCTATAAAACTCTGCAACATCAATACCTTGAGTGGCAACCGCTCATGAGGCTAGAACAGTGATGGCGAACCTTTTAGAGACCAAGTCCCCAAACTGCAACCCAAAACCCACTTATGTATCACAAAGTGCCAACACTGCAATAAAACCTGAAAACTGAGGTTTTAGTTTAGAAAAAACACCTCACAGCATCACAGCCCTAACCATAACCCTAACCCTATTCTGTGGCAGAGCACTGACTGGCCATGTGAGAGCTTGGAGAAGTCGCGGCTAATGAGTAGTGGCGCTTGAAGTCATCGCCTGCTGCCGCTACTCCTTTCTAAGCATGTGAATTGCCCCTGTGCCTGCTGTTATGCGATGCTTGGCTGCTGGGGCGATGCTGGGGCGACTTGGCTCACGTGCCAACAGATGGGGCTCTGCATATCCATTGTGGCACACATGCCATAGGTTGACCACCACTGGCCTAACTCTGCCCTGGTGCACTCCCCTAACCCTGATATAGGGCGAAAGTTCCGTTGAAAATGGCAATTTGGAAAAAGCCTTCCTTGAGTAGCTTTTTCTGCACTGCTCATCCTTTCTGCCCATTCTAAACACATTCCAACCATCAAAACCATGCCAGGACACCTCGTTTTTCTAACCCTAACCCTACCCTGGTGCATACCCCTAACCCCTAATAGAGGGAGAAAGTTTCATTGTAAAGAGGGCGATTTGGAAAAGGCCTTCCTTGAGTAGCTTTTTCTGCACTGCTCATCATTTCTGCCCATTCTAAACACATTCCAACCCTCAAAATCATACCAGAACACCTAGTTTTTCCAACCCTAACCCAGTGATGGTGAGCCTTTTCAAGACTGAGTGCCCAAACTGCTCCCAAAAACCCACTTATGTATCGCAAAATGCCAACACTGCAATCTAATCTGAATACCACACTTTTAGTTGTGAAAAAACAACTCACAGCCAGTGCAATGAAATATATATCCTTGGCAGCGCTCTGACCAGCCATGCGAAAGCTCGGATGGTTTGCAGCTGAGTCATGTCTTGTGACCTCATCGCCTGGCGCCACTACTCCTTTCTGAGCATGCGCATGGCCCCTCTGTGCGCATAATCCACTGTTCAGCTGATGGGGCGATGCTGGGGCGACTGGGCTCGCGTGCCGACAGAGGGCTCTGCATGCCATTCGTCCACCACCACCGAGCTAGAACATTCAGGCACAAAAGTCTGGAAGAACGGGCAGTGGGGCAGGACAGGAGACCTCTTGTGGGAGTGTCATCGTGTCATTTCGGGTTTGCATTTCGGGCAGGCACATCAGCAGCTGCTGCAGAGTAAGTGTCCCAGCCAGGCAGGCACGCTGGGCAGCACTCAGGACGAGCTGTGCACCCCAGTCCCCAGCAGGTCTCCTCCTGCCCCCTCATAGCCGCCAGGGCCTTGTCAAATGCGTGATTCACACGCCCCGTGTTGCGATGATCCATGTGTCAGTGATGATTTAATTAATGTTGATTTGATGTGTTTTTGCGTGCCGCCGTCTCCGACTTGTGGTGGGCCTATGACAGCTCTCTCAAATGCCCTGTGTGTGCCAGCCCTGCTCAGCTCTTGCACTTTCCAGGCTGCGGCTTCCTTTCGGCATTTGTGGGATGGCTCTGCTCTTACAATTCTGTTGTCTACTTGAATGAGCACCTGAGCCTTTAGTTCTCAGTGTGGGCAGGTGCCCAGCTGAAAGTGTGAAATTCTTCATTTTTGCATAGGTCACACACTCAACTATTACAGCTCTGAGCTATCAAAATACCTTGAGCAGGAGGACATTTTCTACCTGAATAAAGGTAAGGGGTGACCCGCCTTCCTTTGAAGAGTGACAGGTGTGCCAGCCCCAAGGAGAGGGTGGTCTTCCCTGTTGCACACTGAGGGCTTCGGAGGCAGAGAGAGGGGGGAAAGCACAGAGCGGGCTGCTCAGTCTTTGCACGTGTCCTGCTAGGGCAAAGGCAAGGCTGCGCTAGGCCGGTTGCTCCGCGGACGGAGGCGGCCAAAGCCAGCGGCAGGGCTGGGAGAGCACTTGGCGTCCTCTGCCCCGCTTGGCCTCCCCGGAGCAGGAGCGCCCCATCCGCGGCTGTGTGCCTCTGGGGAGGGAGGCTGGGGAGCCTGGTTGCTCGTTTCCGGGGGGGACTAGGCGGAGGGGTGCTGTCGCAGGCATGTTCTGCCCAGGGGAGCCTGTGGGCCGCCGAGTGGAGCGCTGGACTGGGGGGCCTGGGTCTGATCTGGCAAGGCGGCTCCAGCATTCTGCTGCTGCTAAGCACTTTTAGAACCCAAATTATTTTCCTATAAATATTTAAAGTAAAATGTTAAAAATACCATCAGAATAACAATAAACCAGGTAAAGCCAGGTAAGCAAGTGCGCTTTCTAGAGACATTTGAAAGATGCCAAATTCCCTGCCTTTTGAACTGCACAAGGGAATCTCCCGCACAGGGTGGGTGCTGCTACCATGAAGGCTCCTCCATAATGGTATTTCCTGGTGACATTCCAACAATTTTGGAATGACCAGCACTGAAGCTCAATCCAGACAAGACGGAGGTCCTGTTGGTTGGAGGATCGGGCTTCGGAGAGGGTGGATTTGACCTGGTCCTGAATGGGGTTGCACTCCCTCTTAGGGATAAGGTCTGCAGCTTAGGAGTACTCCTAAGCTTTCATTGGAAGCTCAGGTGACAGCAGTGGCGAGGAGCGCTTTCCTTCAGCTTCGGCTGATTAATCAGCTGCGCCCCTACCTGGAGTATGACTGCCTGGCGACGGTGACACACGTGCTGGTGACTTCCCGCCTTGACTTCTGTAACGTGCTTTACGTGGGGCTTCCCTTGAAGACGGTCCGGATGCTTGAATTGGTTCAAAATAGAGCTGCCAGGTTGCTGACGGGGACGGGGTGTTATGTTCACATGACTCCAGTCCTCCGACAGCTTCACTGGCTTCCCATTGAAGTCCGGGCCCAATTCAAGGTGTTGGTTATGACCTATAAAGCCCTAAAAGGCTTTGGACCTGGTTACCTGAAGGAGCGCTTACTTCCATATATGCTCAACCGCCCCTTGAGATCTGCAGGAGAGGCCCTTCTCCGGGAACCCTCCGTGAAAGAAATTAGGAGGGTAGGTACTCGGAGGAGGGCTTTCTCTGCAGTGGCGCCCAATCTATGGAATATGCTCCCCAGAGAGATCCGCCTGGCGCCGTCGTTGTTTTTCAGCGCCAGGTGAAGACCTTTTTATTTAAACGTCATTTTAATTGTTAACAATATTTACTTATTTATCTGGCCAGGGCGACTTCTTTTCTCTTCTCTTCTTTTATAACTTTTCTTTTATAACTTCTTTTATATCGTTTATATTTCTTATTTATTTTATATTATTAATTTTAATTTTATATTGTTATTTTTGTATTGTATTGTATTTTATTGTGTTGTAAGCCGCCCCGAGGCTTCGGCAAGGAGCGGCATAGAAATGTTAATAATAATAATCATCATCATCATCATCATCATCATCATCATCATCATCATCATAATATCCTGCCCCGTGCTGTTTCCTGCACTGGACGACAAGAGCATAACTCTGAGTGTGGCTTGATAGCTGGTATACTTCTTGGGCGAGTACAGCGCGCGCCCCAGTGCGCATGCCAGTTGCCTTGCGCCTGCAGATCAGAGGGCTGGAAGGCACAGAAACACAAGCCTCGGCTACGTGGCCTCGCTCTGGCTCTCTGCGTGAAGGCACCTGTGGCGAAGGTGGGTGGACACAGCTCCGGGCTCCCTCATGCCAGTCCAGGGCAGCTCTCCGGTAGACGCGGGCGGCTCTTTCCCTGAACCTCGCCCCCAGCACATGCCCCGAAGCTGTCGCAAGCCCCAGGACGGAGCGTGTGCCGCGTGGGGCGTGAGGCTGACCGCCTGCGAGTTCTGCATGGGCAAGCCTGGAAGGTGTGTTTGGTGCGACCTGCAGCACGCAGGCGACATCCATGGGGCTGAGCTGATCAGGCCTTCCAGGCCCCAGCAGCGCCTGCATGACCTGCCCCACGGCTTTCCCCCAGTCTTCCAGGAGATGGAGTCAAGTCAAGATTCCAGCCTGACGCACTTCGCAAAGACGTACCGGGTGGTTCTGCAGAAACTGTCTGTGAAACGAAGGTGAGCGTCCAGGCCGTGCGGCGCCAGGGGAGCTAGCAAAGAGGCGGAGGGTGCTCTGCTGAACCCGAAGGGGCACATGGCAGCACCCTGGGGCTCGAGCCTGGCAGGGGCCGGCCACAGCGGTGGAGGGCCCTGGGCAAGGCCACGAGGACATGTGGCCAGGCTCCAGCAGAGCCGGGCAGCAGGGCAGCACAAGGCAGGTGTGGGAGGGGCTGGCGAGGGCCCCACGGAAGAGCACGGAAGGCGCCTGGAACCGAGGCGGCTCCACGCAACCCAGATGTCACCACTAAGGGAGCTGATGGGGTCTCTGTTTCCGCCGCAGGCTGGCTGGAGCTGGCGAGCAGGATCCGCAGGCGCCTGACAGCGGCCTCGGTGAGCCTCACGCTGCCCCTCCACAAGGAGCCCTGCCTGCACGGAGGGGCACTCCTGCCTCCCCCTCCCCCTCCCATGGCTCGCTGCCACCACAAGCTGCTCGGACGGCAAAAGCAGCGTGGAGCAGGGTGGCCAGCTCCTACGCTGCGCTTGGGACGTGTCCCGAAAGGCCCACCAAGGGAGCCCCCGCCGCCAATCAAGCTCACTTCTCCGTGGCTTCCGCATGCCAAATGTGGCAGGGCAGGCACAGCCAAAGCTACTGCAAGTCGCACCTGGCAGGAGAGGCACCGAAAGGTGGGCCAGGGCACCACCAAATGTCTCCCGTGGCCACCTGTCAGAATGCCTCTGCGCCCACTGAGCAGCACTGCCACCAACCACCGGGCAGGGCAGGGCAGGGTCAGGCACCCTCTCGGACAAGCCCCCGGAGGCGTGCAGGCCCGTAGCAGGCAGGTGCCCACTGCCAGAGGGTCCCAAAGGCCTCTTTGGGCATGAGGGCACCTGGGTCCCTGCCTTGCTTCCTTCAAGCACGCAACAGGCAAGGATGCAGCTGCTTTGGGAAGCGGCTTCCAGAAATTCTGGCCCATAGGAACGGAGGGAGCATCTTTCCTTTAAAAAATGGGGTTGAGCTGGATTTTGACCTTTGACCTGTCAAAGCACTGGGGACTAAAAAGAAGCTGGGTGGAAATCCCCCCTCCCACACAGGTGGTGCTACGGGGTCAGTCTGTTCTAGGGCATATGTAAAGAAGCTCCCCTGAAGTACCTGGGGCTTGTGCCCCCCCCGCCCGATTTCTCGTCCTCCCCCCTCCCCGGATCCTCCCAAGCAGGGATAGGGAACGTTCATACCCACTGGCGTTCTGCATTAGCCTGCAGCCAACCCGGGCGGCGGCTACCAATGGGGGTGTCCTCCTGGCCACGTAGAGTCTTTCGAGGACAGGCCCTTCCAGGCCACCACCAGCAGAGGCGGGCGCCATTTGTTCCAGACCCAGCGACCTGGTGCTGGCACTGGCAGTGTGGGGGTGCCCTGGGGAGGGAGCTGGGATGCACTACCCATAAAAGTGGAAGAGTCCGGAAGGCTAACCCTGCGCCTTCAATGCTGCCTAGGTAAACTATTCAGTGAATATGAAAGCAGGGCAGCCAGCCCAGAGCTGCCGCCAGAGCTCCCACTGCAAGAAGGCGCCCCCCGGCTGGACGGGAGCGACTTCCTGGACATGCGGAGCGCCAGGCGCACCAGGCGGCCCTTCAGCCAGCGAGGTACAGGGTGGCAGTGCCTGGGTACTCCCGGGTCCCTGGGCCGGGGAGCCTGCAGTGGCAATGCGGAAAGTCCCCAGCTCTCCGCAGGTGGGCTGGGAGAAACTCGGAGGGCTCCCTGCTCCCCTCGGGCCACAAGGCACCCCTTGTCTCTGAGTACCAGCCGGGCAGCTCCAAGTCCAGCCTGCCAGAAGCAAGGCAAAGATGGAGGAAGCAGAGGGGGGAAGACTTGAGGAAGGGGCTGTCTGCTTTGGCCTGTTGCAGGAAGGCAGCCCAGTGACTCCTGCAAAAGAGACAGGGAACATTTGGCTCAAGCGCCACCCGACACAAACAGTGGAAGAAAACACAGTCCTCAGTGGCCCGGTAGCCACCTGAGCCAGGTGGACAACCAGCCACAAAGGTACTTCCCTGGGAAAGCCTCAGCCTGCTTAGGCGCGCCAAGACTGCAAACAGAGGCCGTGAGCACCGAGGGCCACACGGTCTCTCAGGTGCCGCTCACCTGCTCGGCAGCAGAAGGAACGCAGGGGTGGGCAGGCACTTGAAGCAAGTGCAATTAGGGAGACGACCTTTCATGGTGGGATGGGCCATGGTATTTCCCCTTGCGGGAGTCTGGGAGCTTTGAACGTCCTCCTGCAGTGCCAACCTGTTGCCCAAAATAGCTTTGGAAATGCACCAGTGCATGTCTCAGGACTGCCGAATACTCTGGTGTAGAACAGCCCAGGTCCCTTGGCAGAATGAGGCCTGACCACGGAGCACGACCAAAGGCAGCCTCAGAGGGGCAGGGAGGGATGGGGGAGAGCAAGGCAGGAACGGACCCCCAAACGGGGCAAGTCCTGGAGAAGGCTGGCTTTGGCGGGAGGGCTGGGGACAAGGACTGGGTGCCGCCTCAGGCTGGGGCTGCTCGAACCGCGACCGAGAGGAGAGGAGTGCCTCAGGCTTCACCTTCCAGGCCAAGTCCCTCAAGGGGCTCAAGTGCCAAAAGGAAGTGCTCCGATCCGAGAGTTCAGCCACACTTGTTCAATCCGGAAGGGCTGTCCCAGAGCAGAGTGCCTGCAAGGCCGGGGGCCTGTTGTTGCTCCAGCAAGCATGACACGAGGGCAGCCTTGCCTCTGCAAGCTGGAGCCAACAGGCAGGGGACCTTCTGCTGCGGCCAACCTGTGCCACCTGTGATCAACTTCTTGCAATGTTTTCAGGGCTGCTCATCAGTAGCACACCTGGAAATTATCTCCAGCAGATACCAGCTCCACCTTCCGAGGACCCCCAAGGGCAGTGGCTCGGCTGAAGATGCCATGGCTGCTGCATCTCTGGAAGGTGTGGGACCCAAGACCGGCCTCCTGCCCTGGTACCCGTGTTGCTCTCTAATGGACTAATATATCCTCTCAAGCGAAGTACATCTACCAGCACCTCCACACATCCGCTAGCACACGCCACGATCGACCTCCACCAGGCACTGCAACGAGATCCTTGCTGCCCGAGGCCACTCCACTGTGCTCTGCTATCCACCGGCCCGTCCCTGCACGTTTCCATGAACCAACATCCTGCTACCTTGGAAAGCGGCTGGAGCTGTCCCACAAGAGCTCAGCCGTCAGTTCACTGGCCGGGGCAGCCACTGCCCCCGTCAACAAAACTCTGCATGGCTGCCTCACGCAGTGCGTTTCCCCGGTGGAATCCTCGGTGACAGGTGGCCAGCCTATGCAGCATGCGCAGCACCGCAGGCGGCAAGGGAAGGCCTCCTGGATGTGTGCCAGCCACCCCAGCAGCTGCAGCCTCCTTGCTGCAGGGCCCCTGCCGTGAAAATCTGCATTGCCAAAGCCTCACTCTGCAAGAGCACTTCTGGAAGGAGAAAGATTCCACCCGCACATTTCCACTCCCTCTGCTGGTGGCCCAAAAACAAGCGCGTACACGGGCAAGATCAGGCCTCAGTCCAGCGGGCGATTCTCGGGGAGACCCCACACACTTGCCTAAGGAGCAGGGCTGAGGGGTCCACTTGCTCCCAGACACCTAGCAGCAGCCAGCTGGCAGAAGGCAGGTTTCGCCAAGCTGCAGCTTCAAAGGGCCCACTCGAAGCATTCAGATGAGAGCACCAAATCAGAAGGGCGCCTCTGTTGTTCCCAAGGAGCACATGCAGCAAGTAGCCACCCAGACCCAGAGCAGCAGGGGCCGGACCCAAGCCCACCGGCACGTGACACCTTGTCTTGCGGCTGCGCAGACCCCCGCAGCGCTGCCAGGCCACGCTCCCAGGAGCCACATGCCCAGCCACCTCTGGGCTTCTGACACAGCTGAAACTGTGATCTCAGCGTTGCCCTGCCAGCTGTTTGAGGGTTCAGTTAGACCAAGGTAGGATCCAATTAAAAGTAAATAAAATTATGTGTAAAACTGTCTACCAGCACTCACCGTTTCTCCATTAGAAGAAACCTCACTTCACAGCAAGTAAAACCACGCTGGTGCCCAGAGAGTCGCACACCCACTTGAGAGGCAGCTGCCCTGGGAGACGTTGCCTGGGGGCCATCAAAGAGCCCGCCCACTGATGGACTCTGGGCAGAGACCCTCCACCCAGGGCAGCTTCCTCCTTCACAGTCAGAGGTCTTGGAGAAATCCCTCATGAAGCAAAAGCTCACGTGCTTCAGCAGAGCCGCCAGCCCTAATGGCTGAGGGGTGCGCCCAGCACGAGCTGCAGTCCAGGCTTTGACTGGAACAAGGCCTCGGCGTGAACTGGGCAGCTGGAAACCTTTCCTGGGATTCCTGAGCCCAGGAAAACTCCAGCGGCCCCTCGTCCTTGCAGGCAGCCTGGGTCCGAGTGCAGGAGGCCGAGGCTGCTGCCACCACGAAGCACCTCGAAATTCCTCGGCCGGCGCCGTCTCCCTGCCGCTGCACTCCTGCCGTCACGTGCAGAGCCGACCCTTGTTCCCAGCTCTGCCCAGCTCCTGCCTCACTCGTCCTGCACAGAGGCAGCCTCTGCCACTGAGCTCAAAGCGCCGCACCTCCTTCCTACTGCAGGAAGCAGACACTGGTACCCCAAGTGGTGCCCCAGGGTCGCCCCTTCCGCGTGTGGCAACCAGTACCCTCTGCTTGGCCCCAGAAACTGGCACGCCTGTCATCTCCATGCTGGTACCACGGCCAGCAAGCACCCCTAAATCCATTTCCTATCCCTGCGCCTTTTTAGGGGGCGCAGCTTCACTCCCACAAATCATGCCCCACCCAAGAACATCATGCTGCCGTGAAAGCAGAATCGGCCGCAACACTCTAGGGCACAACTGGTCTCAACGAGGCGCAGTCCCTCCTGCTGGGCAGAAAAAAGCCGTGTCCATCAACACTTTAGGGGGCAGGCTGTCTGCAGAAGTGTCCCTGAGGTGGCTCGGAAGCTGATGTTCTTCCCGATTCCTCCACAAGAAAAAATCAGTGGACGAAAGCGCATGGCACAAGCTTGCGCCCAGCATGCACTTGGGACCCAACTGCTCCTTCTCGAAGCTGACTGCTGGGCACACGCCAGGTCAGGACTCGATGAACATGGCAGAAGCAAGGCAAGGCACTCAGACAAGAGTCGCTGCTACTTCCACCTCCACCACGAAAATAAGACTGCCACCCCCACACTTGGCCGACGTGGTCTTCATGCCCTTCCTCGACCAACGAGGGAAGAAGCACCCGCGCCCGGCAGTCTGGCTAAGGGCCCCGGCGCAACGTCCCTTCCCCTCCCTGGCACCTACCAGCCACCTCTCTGAGCACCAGAGGCTTTATTGTGCAAATCCGGGGCCAACAAAGGCTGGCCCATCCAGGCCAGGCCCCAGCGGGGCCTCTTCCCTACACCGCGTGCAGAGGGGCCACGGGGAAGGCAGACAGCAGGACTGGCAGAGGGCCCAGCATGGCTGGTGCCACACTCAAAGGGGAGCTGTGGGCCGCTGGGGAGGCGTCATCTGTGGGCGCTGGGGGCTGCTCCACGCGGCTGCTGCGCCTGCTGCCACCTCCACCTCTCGGTTCCCACGCTGGATAGTCAAAGGACTCGGTGCAGCTCTGCCAGGTGAAGGTTGCCTCCGACACCCGCCACAGCCACAGCCTCAGATCGTCCGTCAGGTTCCGATGCCACCACGTGGACTGGCTTATTGGGCAGCAAAATCTCCCCAAGCACCTACAGGTAACAAGCAACAAGAAAGGAAATGCTACGTCAGTTACCAGATCCCCTCCCTCTCTTTCAAATGGCCCCACTGCCTGTCTCCCCTTCCTCCTCCTGTTGACATAAGAGCAGAAGCCTTTTTGCTGCCCTTGACATTCTTTGCAGGACTTGGCTCATAATCAGCCGTAGCCTTGTGAAGAGTCTTTCTGCACTGAGCCGCCTCTCCTGGGATGCCTGTCTGTGCACTGGCCCAGGGTCCATTTCCTGTGGAGGTCCCTTTTACTTCTAATCATTCTTGCCACCTCTCTGCATCCACGGCGACGCTTTCCTGCGCCTTTGCGGATCAGCGGTATCATTAAGGCTGGTGCCTCCAAGACCTCCCTTTTG